TCTTGATTTCTTGCTATGCATTCATGGTATTTTCCCACTAGAAATGCTACAGCTCAGTGTCCCTTAAAACTGAAGTTTATGCTGACCGGGTATGCTCTGAAAGAGCACATATCTGCTTCATTGTATCCAGGAATACTGGACTCCTCCTGTAACTGCCTGTATGATAGATGTCACACACTATGACACAAAAATATCTTCCCATGACCAGCCCTGCTCCAGTAGGAAGTTTGGGGAGTGACACTTGGAGATAAAGCAGAAGGCCTGGCCTGTGCCCTTCACACCTGCTTGATAAGCAGCCGCCTTGTGCTCTGCACAGTGGATCCAGGCGAGCTTACCCATGGTGATCTCAGCTGGGCTGCACCACAGGGAACCGAACAGGCATTACTGACAAACCAGGGAGGGTACAATAAGCAAATGATCTGCATGCTGTGAAGCCGAATATTGGCTACATGAAGGATGGAAAAAGATATAACAGTGGTAAGACTTTATGAAGCATGATAAATATACTGCAAGCACTTTTCTGCATATGCAAACCTGAAAATTAAGTTCAGAGAATGCTGTTGGCTCAAAAAGCCAACAAGATCCTGTGCTCCCCTCTTCTAGCAGTACACAGAGTCCAAAAATATGAATGAACTGAAGCAATCTGGATCCTATTTGGTCGTTCAGCTCTGATGACTCATCTTCCCTGAGCTCTCCTTAGACTAATGACAAGGAAACAAACACAGGCAGAACAGTATTGAACTTGGTCTCATTCTGGCAAAGTAGTGTACCCAGGATTTTATCACTAGTACCACTTGCACTTCTTGTGTTACCTGTACCCCAAGTAAGAATTAAAGGTTTTATAGGCAAACAATCTGTTTTTCTCTCAAGCCACAAATAATTTTTACTTGAATCCCAGGGCAGCCCAAAATTTTACCCAAATAAATTTTTGAGAAACTTGCTGTCTGACGGAGCTTAAGGAAAGCACCCAGTCAGGGCAGCTCCTGTAGGCTCTCTCCTTAAATCCAGTGTGTCCCCTTTGAGCTGTGACCCAAAACGCTTCACGCAGAGTAAAGCCGCATGTTAACTGCAGAAGCCTGAGTCAGCTACCCCCAGCCAGGAGTAGTAATGTGAAGTGGTGGCTGTGATCCTTCTAAATCCTCCAGGTGAAAGCAAAAAAGATAGTTACACTCCTGAGACACAGTCAGTAGCGGTGCCGAGAGTGAGAGTCACCTCGGAGGCTGCCCTCTCTTGGGAGTTCCTGCCCTTGCGAGTCCAGTCTGGCATCCTATGAAGCCCTTTGTTTTTGAAGGAACAGGGTGACACAATTATTAAATGAAAAGTAAATGCTGTAAGCACAATTTTATGACTGAAAACACTATAATCACCCTTGGATGTGATTTTTGGGTGGTGGACTACATTTCTTACCCTGGTTTGAATACTTGTGTGCCTGTGAGCTTGCCTGCTTCCTCTGACCACCCTTTAAAAGGCATCTCTTCTCCTTAGAAGCTTCTGGGACCCCATCAGCATAAAGCAGTGCCTCCTCGAACTCCTAAAAGGGCTTTCTATCCTTCCTCATGCATTCCCGAAGCTTTCACATCAGATGGCCATTTGCCTGGAGAGGGAACAAGCTTGGCTATCCCTCAGCAGAGGGGTCTGGTGCTGTCCACCCACATCGGGTGACACTGCGACGCTAATTGACGCTAATTTTAATGTCGATGTCGAAGTAAATCCCCTGATACCTCAGTTCCTCCGCTGGAAGAGTCAGGCCCTGCCCCGGCCCTCGGGAGGATGCAGGTGGCTGTGCCGGCTCCAGACTCGGGCTGCCGGGGTCGCGCCAGGGAGGGAGTTTCGGTCGTGAGCCTTTCTGCCGCCTGCGCTTCCCTCCAGCGGGGCCGGGCGGCGCTGGCGGCCGGGAGTGCCTGCCGTCGAGGCGGCTGCGAGACACCGCCCACGCCGGGGGTGGCCCCGCGTGGGTCCAGGGACGAGCGGGCGGCGCCTGCAGCAGACAGCGGCGAGGGACCGCGGCCGCAGCGCATCGGCAGCGCCCAGAGAGCCGAACCGAGCCGGGGCGGGATGCGGGCTCCGCCGGCCGCCGGGGCGAGCCGTGCCCGCATCCCGCACTGACGGCCCCCCCGGCGCCCGCTCCCTGCTCTGGGGCTTGGCCGGGAGCCGGCGGCTCCCCGGGGCCGCGCAGCCCATGGCCAGCTCCGCGCAGCCCCCGGCGGCCACGGGGGACGGCGGTCCCGACGGCGAGTCGCTGGCCGGGGGCGGCGAGGCCTTCGGGGACCGCTCCCTCAGCCAGGGCCTGAGCGTGCTGGTGGGGCTGGGGCTCTGCGTGACCATGCTGGGGCTGGGCTGCGCCGTGGAGCTGGGGCAGCTGGGGCAGCAGCTGCGGCGGCCTGTAGGGCTGTTGCTGGCGCTGCTGGGGCAATTCGTGGCTATGCCGCTGCTGGCCTTCCTCCTCGCCCTCATCTTCGCCCTGGACGAGGTGGCGGCCGTGGCCGTGCTGCTGTGCGGCTGCTGCCCCGGGGGCAACCTCTCGAACCTCATGTCGGTGCTCGTCGACGGGGATATGAATCTCAGGTAGGCGCCCCGCTCTCCTTCACCCCCAGCCGGCCGGGCTGCGGCGGCCCCGGGACGCGAGGAGGGTTCGCTGGGCACCTGCCGCCAGTGGAAGCGGGATGGACGGATGCGCGGACGGACGGGCGGGCACGGGTGGGAATCTGCAGCACTTCTCTCCTGCTTCTCCCGGGGCAGATCTTACGCGGACCCTGACACACGCCTCCTGCCCCCTCCCCAAAAAAGCCTGCCCGCGCCCTGGCCGGGGCGGGGAAGGAGGGTCTCTTGCCGTGAGAAGCGCCTGGCCGGCTGCAGAGCCCTCTTACCGAGGCGGCTGCTCCCCGAGCGGGCGGGCGGTGATCCCGTGTCTCTTTGGTTCCCCCGGAGCAGCATTATCATGACGGCCTCCTCCACGCTGCTGGCCCTTTTCCTGATGCCCCTCTGCCTCTGGATCTACAGCCGCCACTGGATCAACACGGCCGTAGTGCAGCTGTTGCCCCTGGGGGCGGTGAGCCTGACGCTGGGCAGCACCCTACTGCCCATCGGCCTGGGGGTGCTCATCCGGTACCGGCACCCCCGCGCCGCCGACCTCCTGGTCAAGGTAGGCACAGGCTCCGGGGGGGAGGTGGGCGGCCGCGCTGCGGGGGGATGCCCGGGGGCGGCACCGGTGGACGGGGGTCGGACGGCAGTAACCTTTCTGGTCCCTCCAAACCGACGGTAGCTTCACACAGGCATATTCAACTACTTAGGTGAAATACCAGGACTTACAGTCTTGAAATAAAACGGTGGGGCAGAGACGGAAAGCCAGGGAAAGGGCGGGTTACCCCCTATCACAGTGCACGGAAAGGAGGGCAGCGTGGCACTGCACCCTGGGAGTCATCCTGGACCCTCTACCAGAAGCATTCCCCAGCATCCCGCTTTCTCCCCACTTCCGCTGCACCCAGGGCAAGTGAGACCAACCTGCAGGCATGGCCATGCTTCCTGAAAATATGCAACTAAATTAGCTTAATTGTGAAAGGAAGAGTGAAGCACACGCCCTGGCTCTCTTGATTCCCAGCAAGTCATCCCAAAGCAAAATGATCGAGGGTGACCTCAGCCCCTTCCTTTCCTGGGATATGATCAAACACCACCAAAATCCCGAGCCAGGAGCAAACCCAGGAAGGGCAGCACAACCATGTTTCGCAGTTTAGGCTCTCTTAGCAAGTGTCTACCTGCTATGCTTACCTTTTTAAACCAATAACCCATATGTTCAATGTCTGTATCTGTTGCCAGATTTCCCTGTGGTCTCTCTTGGTGACTCTAGTGATTCTGTTCATCCTGACTGGGACCATGCTGGGCCCAGATCTGTTGGCACACATTCCTGCATCTGTCTACGCCATTGCAGTGCTGATGCCTCTAGCAGGGTATGCCTTGGGATATGGCTTAGCCACGGTCTTTAAAATGCCCCCACACTGCAGGAGAACAGTGTCTTTGGAAACAGGATGCCAAAACGTCCAGCTCTGCACCGCCATCCTAAAACTCACCTTCCCCCCGGAGCTCATAGGGGGCATGTACATGTTTCCCTTGCTTTATGCGCTTTTTCAGTCGGCAGAAGCGGGACTCTTTGTACTGGTATACAAGATGTATGGAAGAGACAGCTACAAGCAAGATACACTCGGAGAAGAGGAAGACACAGATATTTCCTACAAGAAACTGAAGGAAGAAGAGGTTGCCGATACTTCATATGGCACAGTGACCACAGAGGAGCACAACTCCATTCAGATGGAGCCAACGCAGACAGCGCTTTAGGCGAGATAAAGAGGTGACTCCCTGGGATGTGAATGTGTGTTGTGCTTGCAACTGGGCTGGGGCTGCGCTTGCGGAGCTGCCCAGCCTCCATTGTTTCTCCAGCTGCTCCCATTGTACAAGGTGATGTGTGTTTATTACCATGACAGTTCTACTTCTTCAAAAAGTAAGTGGGGGAGGGGGGGAAGGTAAAAAGTATCATTGTGATGCAGACCAGTAACTGTAAAACTTTATGTAAGGAGGCTGCTGCCCGGCTGAGTGCAGCAGGAATGGGTAGAAGGAAGGAGACAGCGTTTTACAAAGGCAAAGCCAACTCGGTGCCAGTATGGATGAAGGGAAAAACCACCTTGCGCGTGTATCTCTGTGCCTCCCACCTGCTGTAAAAGCATTGTGCTCGTTTGTTCTCACCACAAATACATGGCGAAGCCGAACCAAATCCGTGTTCTCCTCTGTCTAATCCCGCAGGGGTAATTAAAAGCCGCGCTGCCCGGTTCACCTGGGGCGCTGTGCGTGGCATGAGGGGATTGCCCGAAGCCCAGCACCAGGCGGAGACGGGAAGGGGCGGAAAAGCTGGCGCCCGTCGGGGGCGGGGGAAGCCCGTCCCCGCCCCGGGGGTATTTAGGCCGCCCCTGTAGGGAGGGCACTCCGGGTACGGTGCGATGGCGGAGGAGGGGATGGCGAGTTACCTGTACACCGCCTACCACCCCTACTCCTACCGCTACCCGCCGCCCAAGGGCAAAGGGGGAGCGGCGGGCGGCTGGCGGCCCCGGGGCAGCGGCTACTTCTCGGGTTACGGGGACGCGGCGGCGGCCGCCGAGTACTTCGACAACTACCAGCGGGCGCAGCTGAAGGCCATTCTGTCCCAGGTCAACCCCAACCTGACGCCGCGACTCCGCAAGGCCAACACCAAGGAGGTGGGCGTGCAGGTGACCCCCCGGCAGGACGCCTCGGTGCAGTGCTCGCTCGGGCCCCGCACGCTGATGCGCCGCCGCCCCGGCCCCGCCGCGCCGCGGCCCCGCGAGGCGGAGCAGGAGCTGGGCAGCCCCGCCACCACCAGCACCCGCGCCGTGCGCTTCCCCCGCACCATCGCCGTCTACTCGCCCATGGCGTCCCGCAGACTCACCGCCTTCCTGGAGGAGCCGAGCGCGGAGCCGGAGCAGCGGCCGCAGCAGCAGGACAAGGCGGCGGCGGCGGCCGTCGAGGAGGAGCCGGCCGCGCTGAGAGAACAGTGGGAGGCGGAGGAGGCCGCCGTGCGGGCAAGCTGGGAGAAGCCCACCGAGGGTGGTGCCGAGCCCCTGGGGCAGCGCCCGGCCGAGCCCCTGGAGCAGCGCCCGGCCACCACCCCGGAGCCGCCAGCGGCGACGGAGACGGGCCAGGAGGAGGAGGTGGAGGTGGCGGTGGCAGAGGCAGCGCGGGCAGAGCCGGCAGACCCGCCGGCCGCACCCCAGAAGCGGGAGCCGTCGGCGGGCAAGACCCGCCTGCGCTTCCAGGTGAGGGGTGGCCGGGGGGGAGTGGAGCGGGGCCGGGCTGGCCCGGGAGGTGCCCGCCCCGTCGAGTAACAGTTGTCCCCGGCAGTTTCTGGAGCAGAAGTACGGGTACTACCACTGCAAGGCCTGCAACATCCGCTGGGAGAGCGCCTACGTCTGGTGCGTCCAGGGCACCAACAAGGTAGGGCTCGGATCGTCCCCGCGCGGCCCCCTCGCCGCCGCCCCCCTGCTGACTCCGGCCTCCCCCCAGGTCTATTTTCGGCAGTTCTGCCGGACCTGCCAGAAGTCCTACAACCCGTACCGTGTGGAGGATATCACCTGCCAGGTAAGGGACGCCCTCCCTGCCGCGGGCCGGGCGGCCCCTGGGTCTGGCCACCCTCCCCGACCGCCGCCTTCTCCCTCAGAGCTGCAAGCAGACGCGGTGCACCTGCCCCGTGAAGATGCGCCACGTGGATCCCAAGAGGCCCCACCGCCAGGACCTCTGTGGCAGATGCAAAGGGAAACGCCTCTCCTGTGATAGCACATTCAGTTTCAAATACATCATCTGAGTGGGATAGGGTTTTTTTTTTTGGTTTTGTTTAGGGCTCTTCTAGAAAACTGCAAGTAGAGCAGATTTTTTTTGTTGTTGGTATTGTTGAAGATACTTAGTGAGGTGTAGCTAGGAAAGCATGAAAATAAAAGTACTGCAAAGCATACTCAAATGATCAGGTGGGTTTGTGCTCATCAGAGGGTGCATATTCCAAATTCTGTAACTTGCACAGGGGAAGAGCCCACAAGTGTTTTGTAAATGGGTGATGGTTTTGGAAGCACCTGGCTCAGGACCTTGTAGCATTTCAGGCGGATACGATTTCTGTTACTGCTTCTACTCTTGAACTAGTCAAACACTTGAAGTTAACATCAAATCAACATCTACAATAGTTAGTAGACCATCATTCATGAACTAAACACATAATAGTATTCACTTACTGTACCCACCTCTAGTCCATGTAGAAAGTATCCTACACCTGTTTTTCATCACTAGAAAATGATTGAGAAAAGCTGTGTAAGAACTAGGTCACTCTTACTGGTACAGCTGGTCTGCATTTAGCTAAGCTGGTGTTCTTGTCTGTAGACTAAAACCAAAGAAAGCTTTTCAGGGATAGTTTTCACAAAATGGTGAGGAACAGAGTCACTGATATTATAGTCTCTTAGTAAATGTGTTGCTCATCTTTCTTATGCAAGCTTATCAAGAGAAGTGACACTTCTGCCTGGCTTCTTCAACTCGTAGATAAAGCACTAGAGCTGTGCACTTACTGGATTACACTTGAGGAGTTTGATCTAGTTATGGTTTAGATGCCTGCCATTAGGGAAGGATCAAACTCCCACACCCTTCTGGGGTTGGGTTTGCAACTAGGAATTGTACTCTTGGTGTTTGGTAGTAATGACAGAACCAGCACTGTTTACTCCCAGATAATGCTCTCTGTGGGCCGTTGGTGTTTTCAGTGGTGATGCCCTCTGTGGGGACGTCATACTTCAGCAGAGTGTTACAAACTGACTGGGACTAACTACAGCATCACTATCTGAGCAGATTCAAAAGCTACTACAACCTACACTGCCACCCCCAGTCTGCCCTTTAGCTAAGGAGTTGGGTAAACTTAGAGGAAAACATACTTTTCTGAGAATGCTACTGAACACTGCTTTTGAAATAAAACACCATAATGCACAAAGCCTTTTGCAGGACTCTAGATGTAGCTTCTCTTTGAAAAGAGTGATGTATCTTGGTTATCACAAATTTGTCTACATCTGTACCTAGCTTACTTGAGACCACTATTTTAAAGACTAAAGGGAGAACTATTCTGAGCCCATGCTGTACAGCAGCTTCAGGGCCAGGTGGTTTTGCATCTCCAAGTGGAAGCTAGTATATGGCTGGATAGGCAAACAATATCCCTTGTACAAACATGTCTGTTTTGAGGGGCAGTGTTAATCCTGTAGGCTTAACTCATCTTGCTGTAAATTCCTGCTTTATTTCAATATACCCCTTGAACCTGCTGCAGTGACTAAGGCTTAATGCTTCAATGCCAATTTATTGCCAAGTAATTTTATTTATTCTCGCTGCGTTCATTATTATAGCAGCATGAGGCATTCTGGGAACAAGTAGACCTATCCCCTCCAGAGCAGAATACTGTTTTATTTCATACTTCTACCTGAAGTGTTTTTCCCTGTATGACAGTGAAAGTAAATATCCCTTGCTTTACCAGCTCACTCAGGCTTTCACAGCAAGTTTCATCCTTGCTCTGATCAACTTGAAAAGTACACCTGCAGCTGGGCAGTTTTCTGTGGGTGTGTGTGCCTTGTACTCACCTGTAGGTACTGTAATGAGCAGTGGCAAGTCTCCAGCTTGAGGAGGAATCAGTTGGGGCCCTCTCTGCAAGCCATCCAGCCACACTACCTCAGCTTGCAGTTGCAGCTATGATCTAGGATGTCTTTTAACTTCTGAGCATATTCCCCTCTAAGGGTGTTCTTCAATACATTTTCCTATTTGCCTTCCCCATTCTAATGGTCTGTTCCTGATGGATGCAGTGAGAGCTTGATGGTGATGAATTTGTGCACATTGATAATGAGCCTGAGAGTTGAAGCTCTGTGCCATGTCAGTATCAAATCATATGGCAATTAATGGCAATCTGAGCAGTCAAGTGCTTCCTACTTTTACATGTATTCTCACAAGCGCTGCTTTGAGGTTTACTTGCTGTGAAAATGGTGACTCTTAAATGATTATTATCAGTAATAGCCCAAAGTGAAATTTAGTACAACTTCAGGGTTGTCATCCCCACTAAGCACAGCACTAAGCAGAGCAGCAGTTGGTTCTGCTTGATAAGATGTAAAACAGGCCTAGCTGATGTGAACTTGGTGCTTCAGCAGCAACTTGCCCAAGCAAGCAGTTGATGAAGGCTCCCAGGGCAGGTAGCAGCAAAGAGCCACCCTTGCTTTCATTAGCTATTGCAAAGTTTTGTGACTTGGAGGAGTAGAGGGCAGTGGGCAGCCATATTAAACAAGCTTTCCTTTATCCTGTAGCATTCCTCAGTTCCATAGTAGCTCTACATGTCATCCCTCTTACATAAATATATTCAATGCTTTTACTGCTAGATGCTAGTTCTGTATTTCTCTAGTTCCTTTTCAGTTTTACTGCCCTGTCATGTCCTTGACAGCACACACTGTGTGTCATGGGCACTGGTTCCCAGACTCAGCAAGAAAAAGGAAAGCAACTCCTGACCTATGTGATTATGCAAAGTGGAAAGAAACAGCCTTTGTGTTGCCAGTTCTTCAAAGATATCTTGAACTTGCCCTGTACGGCTTTTTCATGACGGGATTCTTTTGCACATGTTAGCTCAGTCAGTGCTATATTTGCTGCATCTTACTGGAGCTGTCTGATGTTTTGTTTTTTTCTAGACAGCTTTACCATAGCTTCAGATTTGGAACAGACCTGGCATCAGGTAATGCAGGGTGGCAGTTTATGCAGTAGTTGAGGAGTAATTTTTGAAAAGCTTCACAAAGTTAAAGCAATATCACACAGTCAGTTGGTGTGCTTCTGCTCCATAGGGCAGGTTCCACTAGCCATTAGAAATGGAGGAAGATGTAAAGCATAAGGAATGACATATATGAATTCAGGTTTGAATTTCATGAGAAATCCATTAACAGTTTCAGAAGATGCCTAGGAAAATGCTGCTGCAATGACAGGACATAAAAGGAAAAAAACATGACTTCAGGGCACCCAGGTTTCTGTTGTCAGTGTTTGGTCTGCTTGGCTAAAGTATTTAAACTCTAGCTTGTAAAAATACACAAAATGACAGATACAATGTCTTTTATTTTTACAAAAAAAGCTGGTAAAAGATGATGTAAATAAAAGTGTAATGTGCCCCTAAATAAAACTACTTATCCCTGGTAAATACTAATTAAATAATTAAGAACACCATCTACAGTACCACAAAACCATCAAAATAATTCAATTTTATCAGGGACAGGGAAAAAAAATACAGTGAATATGGATGTGCCTTGACCAGTTACAGAACTTGTTAGGATAACATAACTACTGTCAGCAGTCCAACAGTGTGCACAGTGCCTTCAATTAATGCATTTCAGCATAATTACATTTCTAGTGGGGTCTAATTCCCTCAAAAAGGCAGAGCTAAGAATTTCAATTCTACATTCTAAACTCTGGAATTAGAGCCCATTAAAAAAAAAAATCACAGTGGGTAAGAGATGTATATAAAAATACTGGGTGTTCCTTTCAAATCACAGGAATAGTGGGACTACATTCTTTTTTTCTGGTTTTTTTTTTCTTTTTTTTTTTCTACAAAATGCTATTGGTTTCAACAGAATCCAGTTTGTTTTATGCTACAGACTTTGACACTGAACTATGAATATATTGCCTGTTTGCATGTTTTGGTAGTCAGTAATTTATTTTTTTTCTATATAGTCCCAATTCCTTAGGCTGCAGTTGAGTCATGAAGACGCATATACGTGCATTCAAACTCTTCAAACCCTGCAGACTACTCAGACTGCAAGTACTGTATGTGACTACCAGGAGGGAACCCCCCTTCCCCTCATAGCTTTATACACCTACTGTTTTAACAGTGCATTGCACAAATTTACAAGAAAAATACTGGTTTTGCACTATACAGTTTCTAGAATATATACAGAATAAAATAAGTTAACTTCTAATGAGAATTGCTGATGGGCAGCATATATCTTTAATATACATTTTAAAGTCTCTGCAGGCAGCTACTTTTTGGTTAGTTGTTATCAATATTTGTAACATAAGCACTGGTCAGAGAACTGAGCAGCATTCCAATAAAGTTAACAGATATATTATTTCTTTTAGAAACACTGGGAAATCCCAGTTGAAAATATTATTAAATGTCCTAACATTTACACACTATGAGGATTAGATCTAATAAAATAAAATTTCTTCAAAAATAATCTTGCAGCTCTTTTTAAGCATGCTCTGAGACCTTATTTAACAATCATCCATACCTTCAAAAAACAAACTGTCACATAGCCATACATTCTAACTCACACACATAATTTCCTTATTACAGACAACAAAAGCAAATAAAACACTGAGAAGTCAATGGTTTTTGCAGTCGTAAGTCATTCTACTCATGTTGGACTGCACATTCTTCATGACATAACAAAGTGTCTCGTTAGGTATTAGTTGATGATTATATCTACTACTGCTGGAAAAGCCAGGAAGCCTTGCAGGTCTTCAGCCAAAATAAACCAGCCTTGATTTTAGCATCATCCCACCTGCGATACTGATTCAACCCGTAGAGGCTGTTACTGCAAATATCAGTTAGAGTTCTGTTACAACAGAAAATAATGCATATGTATGCATTACATTTAAGCCCTTTTCCTTTCATGTAGTTTTTATAGATAAATTTAATAAAAAAATACTACTGCCACACAGGCTGCTGTGTAGAAAGAGCAGTCAAGTAGGATGTTCACTTCACTTTTCAGATTTTTACTTCTGATGAAACAGTTTCTTGCTGTGATAAAATTGTGTTGGTTGTCAGGATTGCTGGAAGCTTGTTTTTATGTTTTTCATGAAAGGTGCTCAATAATAGTCTGAAGTGTCATCATCATCAGTTCTTTTCTAAATGACAGCTGTTCAGAATCCAGTGCTCACAAGATTTATTCCTGGTCTGATCTTCCCTAGAAGCTGATAGGATTGCACCATGCGTAGAGACTCTCGAATTTCTAGATTAAGTTCCATCAGCTTTGAGCTGGCCTCAGACATGTCTTGGTTGGAGCCTACAACTGCAAAGCTGCCGGTCTGGCCAAGTGTCTGGTGACGGAAATATATGTGCAGCAGTGTTTGAACTGGGTCATCTTCAGAACTGCCAAAGATGTCGTGGGGCCAAATAGATCTGTAAACACACAATATGGATTTAAACATTAAAAAAATTAAATGTTTACATATTCTTATTTTTTAAACAGACACTTGAACAGAAGACATCGGAAAATGCAAAAGAAATGTTTCTTCCATAGAGTCCTGATAATTAACTGTATCATTTCTAAAGAACAAGTACTATTAGTATTGCTTTTTTTTTTTAAATTGCAAGAGCTTTAATGAAACAACAGCGCTTGTCCTTTTCA